TCAGAGTAATATTAAAGCGTGGAATCTTCATTGTTGTTGATGAATGTGTACAACCACGTATTCGCCTTGCCATGATGACCGATGATACGTGAAACAATAAACAACTGGGTAAACACAAAGCTTAGTGAGTTTCCTCTAAAATACCCCATACGATAAACATACAAGCATGCATAACAACCGCTCTTTGGGCCTTCGGCATGACCGGACCACCTTGCATGCCTTCAGTCTATCTGAGCCAGAATATCAGGGTTTGTTGGCCTACCGCCTCAACCTAACCACTCCTTCCGAGCCTCCGTGCCTTCTGATTACAGCCGGACCACATCGGGTATCTTGTCCTACAACACAAAGCAGGACCGCCTCAACCCACTACTACCATATGTCGACATATAGACAATCAAGGATCAAGTAGGCACATAATACATGCAAACATCAATCATACAACTAACTACCGTCTACTAGTTCTATCACAGATACAATCCCGCTACCAGCTAACCTCCATGAAATACGTAACCATAATTAACCAAAGGTGAGATAGCCACCCGGACAGATGATCCTACTCTAGAGCCACAACCAAACAAGGAACATGCAAGAAAGCCTAGATCAAGAGTTCTCAGGCTATCCTACATGATCGCAGACAGTCCCTAGGGCACTCCACTAGATAATAACCAACAAGTACATATAACATACGGTTCTACAGATCACTACAACAAAGCAACATACTTGATCCCAAGATACAGATCTAACGGGTCACCACAACATAACAACATACTCGATACCAGGATACAGATCTAACAGATCACCACAACATAGTAGCATACTCGATACCAGGATACAGATCTAATAGATCACTACAATATAGCAACATACTAAATATCAACAATCCAAGGAATGCATGGCCGTATATACTCAGAGGTGAGATAGACACCCGGATAGGTGATCCTACTCTAAACCACAACCAAACAAGGAACAGGTAAAAGAGCCTAGATCAAGAGTCCTCACTCTATCCTACATAACTATATACAGTCCCTAAGGCATCCCTCTACTAACAGATAACCAAAACTAGTGGGTCGTCATTGGTGCCTTCGACCCACGGGTATAGTGAGGCGAAACTCACCTGAAATGAAGAAACCCAAGAACACTGTCATACGCTCCCTGCTACACTGCTTGCTCCTGCAGATCGACTAACATCAGAACCATATAAAAATCTTAATCATCAATAAAAACCCTCAAGTTTGACCTAAAGTCAAACTTGGTCAAAAAGTCAACAGTCAACAAAGTCAACAAAAGTCAAAGTCCAAAGGTTGGTTGAGTACGCCCTGCATACTCAACTTACGCCCCATGTACATGGGATAGCTTAGTACGCCTAACGTACGAAAATTACGCCCATCATACTCGAGTTGGTTCCATCCTTTCCATTAAGTACTTAATCCATTAAGGACTTTTCACCCAAACTCAGATCTGGCCTCAAAACATTGTCTTAAGTCATAAAATTTCCACCTTTATGACTTTCCATGACTAGGGAAGGTCCAAAAGCTAAAACCCTAACTTATTAATCCATTAAGCATCGCAACTCTTGCATGGAAGGGATAGAAGGACCAATATCATATTTTTATGGTTCCTAATAGCTCCATAATGGATAAAGTTTCCAACTTTATCCATTAGAATGGTCTCAACAAAAAAGATCTAGTCTTTAAGTCATAAAGGGACCAAAAGTGCATCTTTTTCAACTTAATCTATTAAGTCCAAGTCTCCAACCTTCAGATCGGAATCAATATGATGTTTAGATGGATAAAATTTTCAACTTTATCTATAACAAGGTCACAATCTTCCAAGATCTAAACTTTATGCACTTAAAAATGACCAAAAGCTCATAACACCCAAAACTAGCTAGATCTAACAATTTCATCATCAAGATTCAAACTTTATACCTCCAGAAGAAAGATCAAATGCGAACAAGGTATAGATCTACAAGCTATAATGCAATCAATGCTTCTTCAACGAGTTCCTTCTTCTCCAAGGTGCACCAAGAACACTCCAAAACACTTAAAAACATCGTCTTTTTGCTCACAATGCTCAAACTAGGGTTAGGGTTTCAAGAGAGGGTGTTGGAGAGGTGGAGGATGAGAATGGAGTGGGTTTGGGGAAGTTAAGGAGTTTAAATAGGGCTCAAACCATGAAAATAGGGTTTGGGAATTGATCGTGTACGCCCAACGTACTCCTGGTACGACCGACGTACGCGATTAACCCAAAAATCGTCATAACTTCAAACGGTCGTAACTTCTTCATTCCAACTCCGTTTTCAACGTTCTTTATATCCACATAAAGGTGTTGAAGAGCTCTACAATATTATCTAAATATCTTGGACTAAAAACTTCTCGAACAAAAATCCATCTTTCATGCCAGAACCCGGCCTATGACTTTTCCCTTTTTACCCTTCGACCCAAAACACAATTCAAGGGTTAGATCTTTCAACCATCATTACCTCCTTCCACAAGGTCTAATATTTATCTCCCTAAGGCCCAAAACATTTACATAATCGACTTCCAGCCCACGACCCTAAAATAAGAAATAACGGGAAACATGATGTTACACATCATTACATTGATTGATAAGTTTATCCTAGCAACCATCGTTATTGCCTTACATTTACTTTTATATTAGGCGAACGTTTGTGCAACGCACAAGATATGATTATTTAGTTAAAATATATATACATATATGTTATTAAAAATAATCATACTTGTTATTATTATGAAATAATAATTTTATACTAAGTTGATAATAAATATGTTAAGTATTTTGAACTATATCATAATATACACACCTGATAATAACCATATAATCTTAATCGGTTCTACCCATGGGTCGTGTGTGAAAAAAATTGAATACAACTTTCTATTTAATGTTATTTTTAACTATTATTATGATTAATAATTTAGATAATCACATATTAAAACAACATCATCTCAATGGGTTGAACGACTATACAAATATGTAGTTTAACATAAGGCCATGGTTTGATTATAACTATAAAATAAATGGGCTAAGTGCCTACACAAATATATCTAATAATATGCCCTCGCGGTTTAAGGGAAAGACTGACAAATACTCAAACTCAAAACGAAACTCAAAAAACAGATGGAAGGGTAACCCATTTCGTAAAAATATCAACATAATGATATCAAGATGGAACGCATAGAACTCAAAAAAATTCCGTTTGGACTTCGCTTCTTCTGTTTATCTATAATCTTCACTAAGAGTAACTTTGAACTTTACAGTCGAAGTGCCCAGATTTCACTCTTCGGAATTCCTTGTCCTTCGAAACTAGATTTCACATCTCAACAACTATGTGATATCATATTGATGTCTCGTTAAAAAAATGTATGTAATTGAACCACTAACGGAGGAATGTTTTGAGACTAACGGATGAATGTTTTGAGTTATCAAACCATGATGTTCTAGCTTTAGTGTTAAACAAAAACATTGATGAAAATGCATCAAAAATACTTACTATAAAGTTCAAATTTATGGAGGATTTGATGGAAGTCGTCACTTTCAATGATACACGAAAGAAAGCAAAGTACAAAGCATCAGAAATAAAAATTATGTAATACTAACCCACCGTGCCTTCCTTCTACAATACAAACACCAAGATTATAACAAAAAAGTTGTCATGAAGGGTATGAGGTGACAAATGAAGAATACTAGGTGTTGGACTACTTGAGTTACACCGTCTAAACAATTCAGAAGCGTTATGTCAAACCAACGACTTTAAAAAAGTATGCTTACGGAGGCAATGCAGGTGGTTTTCTAGTTTTTGTTTTCTTTTCGTAAATTCAATTCATAAAAAACAATTTCTTTTTATAGGTTCCAAATGAGTTTCGAAGCTCCAAAATGTTTTAAAATGTCCTAGGAAGTAAGGGGGAGACATCGTGTAACATCTTCAATTTGGACCTATTTTTTGTAAAAAATAAAATTTTAATTATAAATAAATGAGATATTTGTAATTTATTTAATGAATATTTTTTACAAAAAATGAAAACAAGCACACACACTTAAATCCATTTTCGGAAACGAACACAAACACAAATCTATTTCATAGATGAAAACGCACAAACACACGATTTCATATTCGATTCAAATTTTTTGGTTATGATTCTTGAGTTTCGATCGAAAAAAACCAACACCATTGAGTTCAAGAATCCTGTGTTTTTAGTGTGTTTTTATAGGTGTGTGTATGAAGATGTGTTTTTAGAGTTTGAAGTAGAAGAGAAAAATGACACATAAATAAGAGTAGGGATGCTACTCAAAAGGACCCACTTTATACATTTCAAACTTAGAAAAGACCAACCATCTTTAAAATCGGTAGTATTTTTTACCAACTATAAGGACCATTTATGTAATTTTGTCTAATAAATAATAAAAATATCCCACATAAATCCTTAAAACTAAAGAGGGTCACATCCGTCATGACAACAAAGAGCGAGGACAAATTCAGTCCAAAACTAATACCACTACATTCTCCTTCTCCACTTCTTTGCCTCTCTTTCTCTCTCTATAGACCTTCCTCGCACCAGTTGTATACCATAAGCCTCCTCTGCTTCTTCCATATCATCTTCTATACCTACCTAATCAACGTTTTCCATTCTTCATACTTCCTCATCTTTTGAAGAAACACCGTTATTCTCCTGTGACTTTTGGGTTACAATTTTATACTTTGTGTTGCTTGTCGATAATTAGTGAGTTTTTCTGCCTGTAAATTGGGGTTCGAATTGGAAATTCCAAGATATAATTACTTCTAATCTGGGCGTTTTCCTCTTGATGTGGGTATTTTAATCTGATCAAGTTCAATTTATTTTTGATGGACGATGCTTGAAAAGTTTCTTTGTCACTGTTGTTGCGAACCCTTTTCTTTCTTTTTTCTCACTCTCCTTTTGGGCGTGTGTAATTAGTGATCAGCTATGAGAGTACGAAAGTGGAGGCACTGATTGAGTTCGATGATGGAAGAAAAGGGTGGAGAGGCAGGAGATGATCAGGGCTCTGGATGGCTGCAAGTGAAAAAGGTGTCGTAATTTTCAGAAATAATCAATGTTCTACTTGGATATAAGTGCATTTTGTTTCTTTTCTTCTTGATTAATTTTAAAATCTGATGATTTTGGGAACGGTTAGTGGATTTAAGGTTTACCAATCTTCAAATAGTGTGCTACTTGAAAGATATGTTCTTTATGATTAACTTTAAATGCACTATGTGTATTGGTATCCCTTGTTAACTTCCTTCTCATGGTTGTTACTTCATGATTTGTATTGGTAGCATATTCATGTTGATATGATGATGTATGAGGTTTTGAGGCTTTTCTTAGGCTTCTCTATTGCTTGATGACATAACTGTGGTGAAGATTGTAAAAGTTAACCCTTTTAAAGAACATTCTTTATGGTGGTTCTTTGTCTCCTTGAAACATTTGTTTACATTTTATCAAACTAATAGTTCCCATAAAAATTGAGGCTTTAGACTAGGTAGTTTTGGATTACAGTTGTGCCTAAGTATTCTTAGAGACAAGTTCCTTGTATCCTTTATCTTTTAGTCTTGTGTTATTGAATACTTTCTCTTACCTTTTTCTAACGCCTACCACATTGATGTAATGAATTGCCTTTATTCATTTTCATACAAAAATTTGGAGGTTTTATACATGTAGGTTTACAATGAACCCAATCAAGTAAAACATTATGAGTATACAAAAATGTTCTTTCAATCTTTCTTTGTTATTGTTAACCTAATATGTTATGTTTCATTCACGAGACTGAGTTAGAAAAATGATAGAAGAATGAATAAATTAGATAAGAGCCAAGATTTTAGAAACAGTTTCATGGAAGAAAGGAAAAAGCTGTGTATCCTATTAATTTTACTAAGAAGAAAAGACCCCCATCTATGAACCTGACCTCAGTTTTGCATTTTCACCTTACTTACTGCCAATATGTGGGGACGACTTGAAGCATATTGTCCAGAGGAAAGAAAAGAAGTTGACTACATATAATTTATTTGTGCAACTTAAACTGTAGTGAGTAGAAAAGAAGAAAATAAGGGTTAAAACTAATGTCTGTTATTGCAACTTTAATCCTAGTACTTGCATAGTTGCATATATGAATCAAATAAGACGTTATGTGTCCTAGAAGTCCTATTTGTTTTGATACTCTTTCTTATATCGGGCATGTATGTTATAAAGCCCCAAAGTTAACGCCTTAACTCTTTCTTTTCTTGCTTTTTTCAGAAGCATAGAAGCAATTCAAAGTTTTCTTTCCAAGGATGGGTGGGAGGACTCTCTAGGAAACAGAATTCAAACATTATAGTCCATGAGCCTTGTAATGTACAACACGTGACTTCAAATGTTAGCTCTAGTGAACTGATTTCAAGAAACAAGGACTCCCCTGCATCTGATTCGGATGCTTCAAATAATACTCAAGTCCCTACTAAAGATGAGAAGGGTGTGAACTACCTTGATAAGCGTGTAGTTAGCCATGCTGATGATCATAAAACCAGTCATGATCCAGAGCTTCCTCAAATCGATAATCTTGATGTTTTTCCAAAGATTAAGTGGGGTAATTTGGATGATGGTGCTTTGGTATCGACTGTCTGTAACACTACTGGGATTGACATCAGATTTGGTGATATTGAGGTTACTGAAGATGATTCAGCATCAAGCATGCCACTTTCTACTGAACCCGTGAGGGAAATTGTGCCAACCATTGAAGAAGGCGCAAAATCTCGGGAATTTGAAGAGGTGAAGGAGGTATCCTCAGAAGAGGTCAAAGTCGTTAGTCAAAGTGATGATGTTTCTCAAGAACTCGATACGGGTTTAAAGATTGAAAATCTTGAATCACAGGGATCAGAAACTCTTAAAAATTCAACCTTTTTGAAAGATACCGATACAACTACCGAGATACCTAAAGATTCTACCCCGATTGAAAATTCTGATAATAAAGAAACTACTTCGATTCTCAATGACTTATCAGAAGTTCAGATTATGAGTGCAATTGGACCCGGTGAAATTGAAGCTGGGGAGAGTAAAGAACGGTTTCGCCAACGACTTTGGTGCTTTCTCTTTGAGAATCTTAACCGGGCTGTTGACGAACTGTATCTTCTATGTGAACTAGAATGTGATAAAGATCAAATGAAAGAAGCTGTTCTTGTTCTTGAAGAAGCAGCATCCGATTTCAAAGACTTGAGTTCAAGAGTCCAAGAATTTGAAAAAGTCAAAAAGTCATCCGATATTCCACCAATCACCATGAAGTCCGAGCAACGAAGACCACACGCACTCTCATGGGAGGTTCGGCGTATGACAACCTCACCACACCGGGCCGAAATACTGTCTTCATCTCTCGAAGCTTTCAAGAAAATCCAACAAGAACGAGCCTCCATGAATAAAGATTCTAATAAAACCGGGTTTCTTGATTTGAATAAACGCTCCACAAGAACCGATAGAACAAGTAATGCTAAAGAACAAGTGAAACGAACCGGGGTTGCAATAAAAAAGAACACCGACCCGGGAAAGAACAAGAAAGAAACAACCGGAAACCGAGAAACCGGGCCCACGTAAAGACAACCATAAATCCACGGATCAACCGAATAAAAAACCAAATTTCATGTCTTCCAAATCAATGGATGCATGGAAGCAAAAAAGAAACTGGGAAGATATACTAACATCACCGTATGCATCGACCCGTTTTTCCCATTCCCCGGGTATGGGTCGAAAAAGCACGGAGCGGGCCCGTATCCTACACGATAAGTTAATGTCTCCCGACAAGAAGAAAAAAACATCTCTCGATTTAAAAAAAGAAGCCGAAGAAAAACACGCGCGTGCAACACGTATTAGAAACGAGCTCGAAAACGAGCGCTTACAAAAGCTTCAAAAAAGCACAAAAAAGTTAAACCGCGTGAACGAATGGCAAGCGGTCCGTAGCACGCGGCTCCGTGAAGGGATGCACGCGCGCCACCAGCGTAGCGAGACCCGCCACGAAGCTTTTCTAGCCCAGGTGGCGAGGCGGGCTGGGGACGAGAGCACAAAAGTTAATGAAGTTCGGTTTATTACTTCATTAAATGAAGAAAACAAGAAACTAATGTTGTTACAAAAGTATCAAGATTCGGAGTCGAGAAGAGCGGAGAAGTTAAAAGATATGAAATCGAAGCAGAAAGAGGATATGGCGAGAGAAGAAGCGGTTTTGGAAAGGAAGAAGCTTGTGGAAGCTGAAAAGATGCAAAGGCTTGCGGAGACACAGAGGAAAAAGGAAGAAGCTTTGTTGAGAAGGGAAGAGGAAAGGAAAGCATCGAGTGCAGCACGTGAAGCGAAAGTGATGGATCAGATGAGAAGGCGAGAGGTTTTGGTGAAAGCCCAACAGGAAGAGGCTGAGCTTTTGGCTCAGAAGTTGGCTGAAAGGCTTAGGGAAAGTGAACAGAGGAGAAAGTTTTATTTGGAACAAATTAGGGAGAGGGCTTCCATGGATTTTAGGGATCAAACTTCGCCTTTGTTGAGACGGTTTTTGAATAAAGAGGAGGGCGGTGAAGGGGTGGTGGTTGCTGGCGGCAATGTGGCGGTGCAGCAGTCGTTGAAGAGGAGGATTAAGAAGCTTAGGCAGAGGTTAATGGCTTTGAAGTATGAGTTGTCGGAGGTGTTTATTGGCGGTGAAAGTAGGGCGGCGGTTGGAACTGCACGGGCGAAAATTGGGCGGTGGCTTCAAGAGCTTCAAAGACATCGGCAGGCGAGGAAAGAAGGGGCGGCGAGTATTGGCCTTGTAACTGCTGATATAGTTAAGGTACTTGTTTCTTTTAATATTCAGGACATGACATGACATGACAGAGCAGGTTGTACTGTGTTTGACCTTGGACTGAGACTGACAGTGTTATGTCCATTGGATAACAATTTCATTTTTTTTTTTTTTTTGGCTAAGATTATTTAATGATAAGATGTTGGATTAGTTTTTGGAGGGAAAGGAGCCTGAACTGCATGCTTCTCGCCAAGCTGGACTTCTTGATTTTATTGCTTCAGCTCTACCAGCATCACACACATCCAAACCGGAAGCCAGCCAAGTGACAATATACTTCTTGAGACTCTTAAGGGTAATACTGTCATTACCCGCAAACCGAAGCTACTTTCTTGCAGAAAACCTTCTACCACCAATGATACCCATGTTAGCAGCTGCCCTTGAAAACTTCATTAAAATCACAGCATCATCATCTTCAAACACCGTGGGTAGTAAAACCCTAATTGAAAATTCGGATGCAATAACGGAAGTTTTGGATGGGTCTCTGTGGACTGTGGCGGTGGTAATCGGTCATTCCGGTTCCGATGATCGCCAGAATCAGATGCAAGATGGTTTGATAGAGCTTGTGATAGCGTATCAAGTCATTCATCGATTGAGGGATCTTTTTGCGCTTTATGATCGGCCACAAGTGGAAGGGTCTCCTTTCCCTTCATCGATTCTTTTAGGTATCAATTTGTTGGTGATATTGAGTTCCAGATTTGGGGTTGTGGGTTCCATCGATTGGGAATCGTATATGCCGGAGACTGAAACTCAAGAGACTAACACATCGGAGTGAGCAGAACAAAGGAGTTGTCCAGCAAGAACTTAGCATAGAGATGCTTCTCTCCTTGCTCAAATCCTGCAAAAATGCCTCCCAACTCAACCCTTTGTCCTCTACTACTACTACTACTACTGATGAGTTGGCCGAGTCAACTCAGTCGGGTCCCGAGACAAGAAAACTTCATGGTGACAATACCACCTCTCAAAGATCAAATCGGATGAATACAAGAAGCACACGACTCCAATCAGGAAAAACTGCTTCTGCGCTTGGAAACACCAATAATAATAGAAGTCTCAAGATTCGGAATCAGAAAGATAACAAATCAACTAATAATAGGGTTTGTGAATCCAATTATTCAGAAAGTTGCTCCAATCTGATGCTCCATTCAAGATTCCCCACCACCTTCATTGATCGAGCAGAATTCTTCTTTTCAACAGAATCACCGCTTTAAATGTAAATGAAAATTGAGAATTCTTAAAAGCAAGTAGAACAAGTTTTTGAAAATCAAACCAATTCCCAAATCTCTCTCCAATAACAGACTGGCTTCTAATTCTATTTCATCTTTCTTGATTGTGGTTTCAAATTTCACATGGTGTGCATATAACAAATATATACATAACTCCATAACAAATTTGTCCAAAGATAATTAAAATCCCAATGAAGATACAGAATACAGGAATATGATTGTACGTATTATAATTTGGATTCAGAGATCATTTCGAAAGCACCAACAAGAGCCTTGACTCGGCTCTTCCTGGTTTGAATAAGCTTACTAGCAGTCTCTTCAATAACATTATTTAAACCTGAATGACGTTTATTCTTATTCTTTTCCACTTCTTGAGCTTTAAGAACCACATTCACTAACTTACTACTTCCCTGACATTGTAACCCACCACCTGAAGGCATTCTCCTCAAACTCCCCCTCTTATCATCATCATCTTGGTTTTGGTTTTGGTTTTTCTCATCCAGCACTTGTTGCCTTAACTTATGCTTAGTTGGAGTGCTACACCCAGAAGACTGCGCATCAACAATCTTCCCTTGCTTAAGTTTGATCTTCTGAGCCAAATTATCTCCGTTTTCCTTCACCGACTTTCCAACCCGTCTCGGTGTTTCTGGTTTCTTTCCTCCTGAAGCCGCTTCGTTGCTTTGATCATGGCTTCTTAGGGTTTCGTCTTTCTTTGACGTTGAAGGGATCTCCGATTCATCATTGCAATCATCACTTCTTAGGGTTTCATCTTTCTGACTTTCATTGGAATCATTTTCAATTACTCTCTCATTACTATTACAAGTTGAAATACGAGTTTCATCGGTCTTTTCTTCAACAGGTTTCACGGGCTTTGACTTTCTTGAACCATGGTCAACCACTGGCTTTTGGGGTTTTGAAGTCTGCACCTTTTTAGAAATGTTGCCATTTTCCAATGTTTTTACGGAGTTTGGTTTTTCGATCTTTTTACTACTACTCCTAGATCTGGTCAAACCTGGAACTGGTGGTTGATCAAGAACATCTCCCAAACCACCGGTGGGTAGGAGGATCTCACTGTAACGCCTTCTATGATTTGTTGAAGGTGGTATATAAAACGGGTCGGTTGACTTTATTTTGGACTTTGACTTCAAGAAATTTTGTTTTTTGGGTTCCATGGGGAGAGGTTTGAGAAGGGAAGTGGTGGTGGTCTTGACATCTTTAGTGGAATGTTTGGGGATTAATTGCGAAAAGATTCTCTTGGAAATTGGAGGAGTTTTGTTTGATTTTTCGTGTGGGGCAGGAGTTGCGCTTTCGGGTTTGCAGTTGTCGTGGCAGGAGGACACTGGATCTTTGAGATATCGACTTGAAACGTCTGTGTATTCAAAGGCTAAGTTCCCTGTTGAGTGTCTTCTTGAGTGCTTGTCAGGCACGATTTTTTCCATGCCAATGTGAAGCAGTGTCTTCAACACCAACATAAAATCTGTTCAATCACAATCAATAACATTTTTTATATTCATAATTGAAATGCTTTGAATGACAAATATTATAAATAAATCGGATATGGCTTAAGATTTGATTCCAAGGTTAAACTTGATTCTTACAAAAAATCATATTGTAAATAACCACGCTACAAATTGATGCATCCTAGATTATAGAAAACAAACGAACTCAATTTAAGGTTTTGGCTAGATTTTATGGGCCTTTTTTTTTTTTAGAAAAAGAAAAAGAACGTATTAATAAAATCTTGAATCGGGTTCAAGGGTAATCGAGAGAGAATGAAAAACATACATACCTTTTATGGAAAATAATAACGATGAAGATTTAAACCCAAGAACTTGAGAGGAAGAAGGTTTCTACTTTAGGTTTGAAAGGAAGAAAAGATTTTCTTTGTTGCGTTGCATTTGCACGAGAGACACCCAAACATCTCTTTCTATTTTTAGAAGAAATCTCCCAACATATTCCAAATTCCCATTTTATGTTTGCCTTTTTATTTGGTTTACATTAAACTGAATTTACAGGCATGGAATAAAACGAAACCAAAATATATAAAAACCATTAAATTATATTCACAAGAAAATGTCCTCTTTACATACGGGAAATTGAAAAGACAGTTGACATTGACAAACAATACACACACTTAATTGACAATTTCTGAAACAAGCCAATCAAGACCAGGGTACGCGAAATACAAAACAAGAAAAGATGGAACAGCAAACAGAATAGTGACAAGAATATACAAAAGCAATATTGCTATACTTGCAGGAATTGCATAAACAACAATAACCAAAAACATAAAAATCAACGGAAACTTAGCCGTCAAATTAACAAAAAACATCAACGACTTACGAAGCGACAAATGGAGCCTTTCCGGTGCACCGGACCCATGAACCCGTGGGCCCACAGACTGGGTCCGAACCGGGTGGTGATGATCAAAACATGAGGAATGAGAATGAGACTTGATGACTCTATCACCATTTAAGCTCTCCACCATCCAAACAAGAAAGTAATTCTTGCGAGGAAACTTGAGGGTTCCTTTGTAAAGGATCCGAAATGAT